CAAGTCTATGGATTTTAAGTAGAAAGGCAAGATCGGTGTATTCTTCAGATTTTTTGAATAATTTTAGCGTATGTCCAGTAGATCTGTACAACGTTTATCAAGAATATTAGCAACGTTTTAGAAAACACGTTGCATATATTCACTTACTTATGTTATTAAATTAGTTATATGGCCCTCGTTCACTTCGATTCAATACATTTTCTTTATTATTTTAGCGGATCCATAAACAAAGCAGATAACATGAATCATTAAATCACAACTCATGAGTTGTTATTTAGTAATTGTGATCATCCTAAAGCATTTTTATTAACTACAGAAGTTATATTAATATGTTATAGGAGGATACGTATAATTCTGAAATATCTGATCCCAGTTAAATGTTTAATAGTTGAATCTTGAATGCAGTTCTTCAGCTACCCTCTGAATAGTACTAATATAAAAAGTTTGAATTAAGTAAACATGTTACTTACTTTTAATGTTCGTTTCATTCTTGTTAAAATTTTCGTTTGGAGTGAAATATTCATTGTTGACAGGCTAAACAATATGCAAATAATACATGACAACCACTAATAATTACTTATAATATATAAATCAGTAACGAGTTGCTCAACTTTCCTGGCAACGTTTTCAAATTTTAGTGGCGTGTGTTTAATAAAACGTTTTTAAAATGAAATATTATATTTTTAACTATTATAGAAAACAAAGAACCGAATTTGAATGAATGAGTCCGACCCTAATAGAGATAATGAGGGTCGTGTTTATGTCCTTAATTTCTTGATTTTTAACCAGCAAAATTCAATAGCGTCAATTTCACTAATAATCAAACTTTCCAGCAAAATTTCAGAAATTTTCAACAAAAAAAACAGGAGTTATTAAGTGTCAAACAGGGTGAATAAATTCGTGCACCTCCACACTCTAACATCCATACAAAGAGATAAAACCCAAGATTATTTTGACATTTGAAGGAATTCTAAATTTAGAAATGTAAAAATCTTGGGGGTCAAAAAATGACTCCCCAAGCTTTTTACATTTCTAAATTTGACCGATCGTCACTACTTTCCCTTTGTTATACATAACAACCGAAAAAGAAATACGAAAATCTTATAAATTAAAAATGCATTTTTTTGTGATTGTATATAAGCGACATATTAGAAAATTGTATTGAAATTAATTGTTTTGAAAATTTTGTAGAAATTATTTAGTCTTTTAAAGAAATTAACAAAATAACAAGCGAGACTCTACATGTTCCATCTTGTACATTGAGAAAACATATTACTAATGAAGTAGTAATGTTATTTGGATTTACTAATTATTTTTTACTTAAATTAGCATCGTGTCTTCTACCGTACGATTTAACCGTAGAAAAATTCCAATGCGTTTAGCCTGTTTTCACGCCATCATTTTCTTCAGGAAAATATATAAAAATTGTATACGCACTTTACATTACTTGCAAAAATATTTAATAATTAAAACATTTCTGCATTAAAATCGCTTGTTTCTTTACAGTGTTATTCATAAATGCTTACACAATCATTATTTTAATAATATACGTCGTAAATTCAACCCAAACCAGAGAAAAAGCAAACGTTTAAGCCGAACTCCTACTCGTCACGTTTCACGTTCCAAACGACATTTTCAAACTTGTAAAATTACAAGATAACGACGCTCGACGTTCACGTTTTAGCGATGAAAAATTTGGTCGCAACCTCTTTATTATTTATTTGTAATCAACTGCTTCTAAAAGTAGATAAAATTAAAAATTGCAGTGTTTATTAATTTGTTGTAATCTCTGTTTATGTAATTGCAGTATTTCATAGTATTGTAAAAATAAATAAATCTGGTATTTTGTGCTATCATCGTTGCAAATGGCAACAAAGTAAATTTTGCCTACGTTTCGTAAATCTTAGGTCCGCCTGTATGCCGGGCAACCTTTCTCAACATGTGGCCACATCCATTGTGAACCTGACCAATGAGTCTGAAATAAAAACTCATTGTTTATACTCTAATTTATCGTGCACTAAAAAGCAGGAGTACTCAAATTATTTGAGTACAAAATTGAGAAAGTTTGAAACAGTATAATTTATATATATAAACTTAAGTTGAAATTTGCTTCTTACTTTTAGGAATGTTTTGTATGCATAACAATATGAATATTGAAATATGGTGAATTTTCGCAAATCTTCAGATGTCGAGATTGTCTACACCCAAAACATATGGCAAACAATTAAGTGAATATCTGTGCTTGAACATGTATTTGCCACATAGTTAGCCTAATATTTCAGAATAAATTGAACATTAAGAAACTAAATTTAGTAGTGTTCATTGTCTACAAGGGACATTAATAATATAAAATTTTGGCAATAAAACTTCCACGAGTGAAGAGATAGAAGATGGTCACGTGTAAAATCTCGAGTGGGATCAGACTTCATTAAAATTGTATTTGTTGTTAGCATAGTTTGTGAAATGCATTTCTACCATTAAATTTAACTATTTCTTCATTTTATAATAATTAAAATTATAGAAAGTTTTTATAACACATGGCGCCAATGACAATTTTATTTATTTATTATAATGAATAATATAGATGTTATTTTTTAAATAAAATCTCTTAACAGCCAGAAAACTTTCACAATTCGTTACTAGATTTTTTCTTCTATAATACATTTTTTTTTTATTTAATACAGAATACACCTAACATCAAAGCATAATATTCATTACTAATATTGACCTACATTTTCAACCATTCAGAAACCTATGTTAATATTAAAGTTTCACTGTAAAATATTTTGAAATTTCTATTACTTACCAATACGTTTTCATCATCATCTGGGAGATGAAAAACTTCTTTATAATCTTCAGTCTTTACTTCAATCTTCAATTTTTTAAAATCAAGTTTACATTCTGATTTTATACCATGTTTTACATCACAATTCTCTTTTATTTCTTCTTTCTTAATATCTGTAGTGAAATTTACAATCTCTTGTGTTAAAGTATTCTATTAAAAATTTGAAATATAAAATAAAACTGAACATATTTTCATTAAGATAACAATATTAACATACTTTATTATATTAACAATAATATTAACGTCTTTCACTACATGATTTATTTCTGATTGCAAGCCAAAAACTACCTTTGAATCACGGCGAATTGCTGTGATGTGAGATACAAATTATAATAAGTACGATTAAAAACTTGTTTTCGTTATTAAACAGACCAGCAACGAGTGCTTATCTTTTCCGGAAACATTTAATACTACGGCTGGCGCCATCTCTTATGTTATTTTGTTTTAAATATTTTTATATTTTTAACGATTATAAAATTAAAAATGCTTAATTTTGAGGATAAAGATGTGTTTTATAAAAATTGTATATTAGAAAATGAATAAACTCGTCATTATATCTGACCTTACTGAAGATACGACCCGCATTATCTCTATAAGCCCCTCGACCTTTAATTACAAAAACTTAAAAGCATCAATCCCATTAATAAACAAACCTTCCTTTTAAATTTAAGAAATTTTCGACAACAAGCACAGTAATTATTAAACTTTGAAAAGGTTGAAGAAAATCATCGTTTCCCTCCACACACGCTGACATTTATGCATACAAAAAGTACACGAATTTTTTTAATTTCTCGTCGTTTTAAGTTGTCTTAAGTTTAAAAATGTAAAAATATTCGTAACGATTATTTGCTGGCAGACTTCCCTTCTGTTATATATAAGAGCCGAGAAAGAAACACTTAGTTAAAGAGTTAAATAATCACGAATATAAAAATTTTGAATTAGAAATTTACAATAATTTTACAATATATTCTCATAGTTGTTACATATTACAATAAAGTTATGTTAATTAAAGTTCAATATTCCGGTGTTTTCCCATTTTAGACGTTCTGACCATCCGTTAACACAACAACATAAAATACGTCGACAAATAAAACTACAAAATTCTATTTGTCGACGTTGATAACTTCGTCTGAAAATTTAGACATATGTACGATGCACTGTACAATGTGTTAAGTATCTGCGTCACTCCCTCACACTTCGTTTCAAATATAATACCTAAATTTATATGCAATAAAAAGCTGAGTGTTAAAAGTACAGATGAGTTTTATTTATAGATACATAAAATTAGTACTTTAAAAACTTAGAACCTGAGAAGTAACAATACATCCGAGTCTCAGCACCCATTAATGGAAAACCCGCTATTTTCAGAATATCATAGACATGTATTGATAAAAACAGTAAAATAAATACCAACAGACTTCTTCGGCATTTGTTTTAAAAAAACTGGAATTTATTCATATAATTGGGTTGTAATCTGAAAAAATTTAAGACCTATAAATCCTCACTGTTGTCTGTGTGACAGTCCTTTCTTAATCTCGAGAACGGGCGAAGATGATAGACAAGACTAGGTAATATGGAGATAGTAAAAACAGGAGACCCCGATTAACTGTGTAAAAACGTTTGGAGAATATTGAAAGTCGTATTATTTCAATTAAAATCTTTTCTCCTAAAAACAGTTAATTAAAGACCGGCATAACTGCATTGTTATATGAAAAGTATAATGTACACAGGCAAGCCTCTACTAATTTGAGATAAAAACCATATATTTTAAATTACATACATTAGAAATATGATTAAAATTGCAACCCGACATTGTGACGATGTCATAATAAATAATTGCTCGTTTCATTGAAATCTAAAACATATAAATTGAACTTTTCTATGTTGTATGATTCCGATCAATTGAATTAACAATTTTAAATCTCTCAACTAAATTAAATGTACATAATTGATAATACTGAATTCTACTTAATTCCTTATCCATTATACACGACGTATTCGCAACGTTTTTCAAATGTTATCATTCCCATTTATATGAATACTAGCANTAGCAAAAAAAAGTTGAAATAAAGTGATTAAACAAAAATTATTACAAATATCGTAAATAACAGTTCACAAATGCATATATAGAGATATTTTTTGGAGGGGGGAAATGGTCTTCACAATTTGAAATGGATCGAACACACAGTGCTCGAATGCTCGTGTAAACTCGCGCCATCTATCGTAGGATAAATGTACTTCGCGGGAGTGTATTAAAAAACTTTCCAAAGTTTCATGGCAATCGTACTATGCCACAAACCTTCGCTGGAGTATATTAAACAACTTTCCAAAGTTCCACGGCAATCGGATAAACGGTGTGGTAATGTATGAAGGGCACACACAGACAGACAACACACATACATTCATTTTTATATATATAGATGAATTTATGTATTACGAATTATTCTTATCACTACAAAAAACTTTCGTAGTATTAAAAGCATTAAGCCTCTTACCTCTTTCGATTTTATAACCAGAATGACTCCAAATAGTGGATCCGTTTGTGTTGTTAGTAGGAATTGGTTCTCTTTTAATATTTATCTGAAATAATAAAATATTACGTAATATTATTACACAGATTCACCTTTATAGAAAAACACATGAACAATTATTTAAAGTAGAGCATAAAAGTACGCTTACTAAATGTTTTTTAAAAAATATGGCCTACTTTCTACTTTTCTTTTTATAGTAGTTCCTATCATCTATTTAACACCTTTCAAAGAAAAATTTTGAATTCCAAACGTGAATTCAGGTTTTCAGCAGATATACGTATACAGTTTATCAGTACTTCTTGCCCTATTAAATGAAGCTGATACTATATGAATATGTAAATTATAGTTTATTAAGAATCGGGGTGCAATTTCAAAAGACTTATAAATACCCACTTTCCTTAGTCTGTACTACTGTTTGACAGTTTTTTCTAAATATCGACAACAGAGTTAGACAGCTAAAAGCCGAAACCACATATGCTTAGAGGCAATCGGAAATTCTTGTATACAAGAACTTCCGATGCAAATCGAAAGTAAAGTTGTTTCAATTCAGAAAGTTTCCTCTGAAAGAAGTTAAATACGTAAACGTCACAACTCATATAAACAGGGAAAGTATAACGTACAAGGGAAGCCACTACTAATTTCAGGTGAAGGGCATATATTTTAAATTAAATAAAAAAATAATATAATCAAAAATTGCAGCCCGGCATTGTGAGGATGTCACAATAAATATCTTCTCGTTGATTGTCTTTTCTTTTTTGAACTTCTCTTACTTTCGTGTCTTGTAGTGCGTGTAACAACCGAAAGTATAAAAATCCTATCAAATTTGTCCGTCAGCTATTGGAAATCTCCAAGTTTTAAGACTTCCTCAACCCAAACAAATGTTTAAAAATATAAAGATTTTACTTATTATTACATATTAAAATTTTTAAAAATACAATTTATCTTTAATCTGAAAATTAAGCTTTTTGCCATTTTATAACAACTAATAATATGAAATGGTTTTTGAATAAAATTTCCTAACAGATGGTGCCACACACAATTTTTTTTGCCGGAAATGTTACGCAACTCGTTGCCAGATTTTTTCGATGAGAGATAACTTCAGATTTCTTATTTTGTGATAATCAATCTCTCGATCATCGTGAATCTCCAAAAGACTTCATCGAAAATGGAGATCTCGAGTCGAGTTCTACTACTGCTTGGCCTGACGGGACTTAAAAAGTCCCAAATACATTTTAACCTCATACAGCTTAAATATCATACATTTTACAAATACAATACACTAAACTCCAACTACACATATGAAATATAAATTTATAGATACAAAAGTAGATACATTTAAAATATTATGTAGAATTAATATCTCAGAATGGATTGAAAATTAAGAAACGAAATTTGGCAGGATAACTTCTGTATAGAGAGCATTGATGCTAAATTTTTTAAAAGAAACATCACGTGTAATATGTCGAGTGAGGATCGGACTTAATCAAGATTTTGTTTGTTGTTACCGTTTGCACTTGTTTATAAAACTTATCTCTACCTCCAAAATTAAGCATTATGTCATTGCATAATAATAAAAGTATAGAACGTTTTTATATAACAAAATCTTAAAATTTCGTTACTTCTGTAATATTTATTTCTAATGATTAATAATATAAAAGTTATTCTTTAAATACAATTTTTTAAGAATCGGGAAAGTTACGCATCTCATTGTTAGATTTTTTTATATAATACATATTATTATGTTTAATACAGAAAACACGTAAATTTTAAGCATAATTTTACATTACTGTTATTGAGATACGTTTTCAACTACTCACAAGTCTAAGTAAATATTAAAATATCACTAAAAGTGTGTAAAATATTTTGAAATTTGTATTACTTACTAATAATACCTTTTCATTATCATCTGGGAGATGAACAACTTCTTTACAATCTTCCCTCTTTACTTCAAATTTCAATTTCTTCAAAACAACTTTACATTCTGATTTTATACCTTGTTTTATATCATAATTCTCTTTTACTTCTTCTTTCTTGATATCTGTAGTGGAATTTTCAAAGTTCTCGTGTTAAAAATTTAAAGAAAAAACTTGTATTACAAAATAGAACTGAGTATATTTTCATTAATTAATTAACAGTGGATAAAATCACTCT